GCTGAAATCCAAGTCATTAAGACAGGAAAGAAGGGCCATGGACACTGTGCATGGAGAAAGGCAACACATCTGCTCAGTGTACAAGATAGAAGTAAAAGACATGAGAGAAACGTTGAAATTTGAAACTGAGGTGTCCACACTCAGCAAGCTGACATCTGTCAAGAATGTGAAGCCCCAGATTTTAAAGAAAAAGTTCAATCATTTGAAGAACCTGGAATTTTCAGATATTTCGAATGACGGAGAACTTGAAATTGATGTCATCATTGGATTTGAAAACCTTTGCAAGCTGAAAACAGGAAACATGAAATGGGGAAGTGCTGGTGATCCTGTTGCAGAAGAAACAACACTGAGCGAACTCCATCGTGTGTATAACCCCGAAAATGTGGGTTTTCAACCAAAAATCTGGCACTGGATTTCTCACTAGTGTATACCGTAAACCCACATTTTCGAGGTTATACACTCGATGGAGTTCGCTTTGCCCAAAACAAAGAGAAATCAGCCTCATCAAAACGCTTACACATAGGGCACTGATGATTTGTGCCAAGTCTAAACTCGACTCGGAACATGAAAAACTAAATAAGATTTTTCTGAAGAACGGCATCATAAGGATTTTATTTCAGTTCACATTAAGGAGAAGATAGGAAATTTCTCGGCCGACGTAAAATTTGGTCCTCGAAAGTGCCCGGTCTATCTAAAACTACCCTGGATCGGTGACAGTTCCCTACGGTTTGAAAGTCAAATAAAACAGGCCATTACAAATTGTTTCTTTGCAGTCAACCCACGTTTTGTTTATAGTACGAAAAAGGCCCTTTTGTCCATTCAAAAGGACTGCGTTCCTGTCACACAAAAAAGTTCCGTTGTATATGAATTTACGTGCCAGTGTGATTTTGGCTACGTAGAACGCATTACCCAAATATTGGAGGATAGAATAAAACAACATGTTGCGTCTAGTATTAGAAACAAATCTGGTCCCCAAAAAGAACAGCTACCTCGGTCTTGTAAATCTAAAATTACAACTAAAACCCAGATTGTGCAAAAAACTATAATGGCGACATGTTTCGGATTATTGGTAAAGCCCGATGGTCGTTCCACCAAGCAGTTTTGGAATCTATCTACATAAGCACGAAAAACCGCTACTGTGTAGACAAAAGGAGTTCGTTTTCACCTTAAGACTCCATTGGTAACATTCTCAACAGGCAAGCGGCACTGATTGGTCAACCTTAACAGTCATGTGCTCGTGTTTCTGATTGGCCTATTTCGATCCACAACTGGGTATATATATTTCCTAGTGTAGAGTTTTCGGTCTATGTTCTGACGTTTTAAACTCTGAAGAGTGTCAGACGAAGAGCTTTAGTTTACTAAATGTTTGCTTTTTTCAAAGCCATTTACGAAGTATTCTCTTACGAGTCTCGACTACGGCTACAGAATTGAAATTCATAATCATTTCACAATCACAGAAAACTGTGCTTTTTAAGTGTTTTATATTTTATGATCTATTGTAAACTGAAATTCACTGTTGAAAACGAATGAATATAAATTTTCATACAATATTGTTCCTTTGCTTCTTTTGAAATTCAAATAATCGCCTTTATTTTATGAGGTCTATGAGGTTTATGAGTAGCTGCGCTGGCACCAAAACAACAACTCATGAACCATAATTAGTTGCTTTTAAAACAATTTGGATCGCAGCCCCCGCATGGCTGTAAACCTGCTACCTCTAACTAAATTTGCCTTTATTTTTGGACGAAATGGCTTTCTTGACGCCTCCCGTCGGGTTTTGCTGTTGTTAAAAATCAGAAGTACTTCGGCCTAAAAATTTTATAGCAGGAAGAAGGTAGATTGGTTTCAATGTAGTTTTTGCTAAAAATGGCCTTTAGATTATGCCCGCTCCCAAAAGATTACGACCTTTTGAGTCATATTTAAGCTTTTGAGTCTGACACTCTTCAGAGTATAAAACGTCAGAACATGGAATAAAACACTAAGCAAGGAAATATTTATGTACCCAGTTGTGGATCGAAATAGGCCAATCAGAAACGCGAGCACATGACTGTTGAGGTTGCCCAATTAGTGCCGCTTGCCTGTTGCAAATGTAACCAATGGAGTCCTAAGGGCTAGATGGAACGACGGTCGGGCTTTGCCAATAAACCGAAATATGTCGCAATTATAGTTCTTAGCATAATCTAAGTTGTAGTTTTAGATCTGCAAACCGAGATGGCTGTTTTTTTGGGGGGTAGGCTTTTTTCTAATGCTACAAGGAGCATGCTGTTCTATTCTATCCCCCAAATTTTTGTCCTGTGTGTCCTACGTAGCTAGAATCACACTGGCTCGTAAACTTTTGATAACGGAATTTTTTTAGGTGCTCAAGTTTACTGTTACGTTCAAGGTTACGTTTTCAGAGTCGTCAATGAAAGCCCTCGCCCAATTCCTTTTTCGTCACGCTTCACATATTAGATTTGACTAATAAAAACCAGCCCTTCTTCCTGTATCTTTTGAAATTTAAAGGAAATCATTTTTTGTAATTTTAAAAGTTTTTGGGTGCCAAACAAAATTATAACGTTTTTGTGTTTAAAAAGTTCCTTCAAAACCAGGAAACCAACCAAATCTCATTATATGTTTATTTCTATAGCAATGTAAGCTAATAAACGATTGAGGGTTTTGGTTTCATTGTAACCGCGCAACAAATTCTTAGTGTCTATTTCATACAGAGTCTTGAAATTTCTGGATCCTGAATGGACTAACATTAAATTGTCGATCACAATTTTGCATTGAACAACCAAAATTGTCCAATTATCTAACAACCACAAATTTTCCAATTAACTAATGCCGATGCAAAACATCAAATACCGGTAAAGTGGGATGTTTAACTTCCATTTAATCAGGTCCTAGTTTACACTTTCTTTGCAAATTTCTAGCTGGCAGCCATTTATTTGCATTTTATCAATGCAGAACTGTTGAGCATTTCTTGTTTCCACTTAAGAAGACTTACTGCCCTTGTGAGGTAAACGCTTTATAGCACTCACACAAAGTTTGTGAGATAACATTATTTTAATTTTACATGCTATTGAATGATCTTCTTAAACTGAGATTACATGTTCAAAAATTCCAGAATTCATTTCACCATGCAAATGGCCAATTAAGCGGCAAACTGAGGCTAGAGTAACACTATACCGGATTCCTATCGGAGCGTAGCAGAGCTGAGTAACTTCTACTCTAGAGTGATATTTGGAGTAGCAGTTACACTACGACGCACCGCTCGCTCATACGCCTGCACACACACATTCCTCTGCATTTCCGGTACACAATGCAGTGTGCTTTTGTAAACTCATGCATAAAGTGCACCAGATTAAATTATTTGTTGATGATCTTTTCAAAGCTGTGTGATGTTGTTATTTTGTTTTCAATAACTACTGAATAAAAGGACGAAAAAAAACCCTGAAAACTTAGAGTTAAGTGATGAGGTTCGTTGGATGGATAGTAAGATTGTTTTGCTATCTGATGTGTTTAAGCATGCGTTTCGTCAAGGACCATTTCAATGCAATTTGGGAAGAGATGCAATTGAACTACGAAATGTTGGGACGATTTTCGTTGGGCATTATCCAACAGCAACAAGCTCTCAGAAATCACAATTTTTGTGTACGAAGAACGAGTACACTATGTGACTCATCGTGTAATTTAAGATACGGATATAGCGGCAATAAAGTTTTGATTGGTAAAAATTTTCAATTTTTTCATTGTTTTTCTTCGCATATAAGTGTCCTGTGCGCCTACCTTGAAGCTACCTCCGCACGCACTCTAATTACTGAAAATTCAAACTGAATCCTAAATGCATCCAGGTAGTACTGTTAATAGAAGTAAACTAAAGCCACACCGCGCACCTTTTATAGTTTTAATTAAAAAAGCAAAAGCTCTGTCGAGGACTTTTACAGACAAGCTATCTAATAGTTTAATAGCCTGAGCCTTACTTACTACCGATATAGTTAGGGGTCTGGAACTTAGGCTCATAGCCTAACAAACTGAAAAATAACCAGCAGAAAAAAAAATTATTCAAAAGAACGTCGACTGTAGCACATCAAAAGTAGGGGTTAGCGAACCGGAGTCAAGGGAGGTACGTCCTCTTTTTAGTAAAGCGCTCATTGTTTTACTGGTTCCCTCTTAAGAACTTGTAGAGGGGACCCCATTTTTCTAGGAACCAGTTTCCCTTTCTAGCTCTCTCCTGTCAGGCTTTGCAAACTTCAACTTCCCGAGCTGGGGGGTTTTGCCCGAGTCTATGCTTGAGAAAAATACAAAGCAGGCAGATAAATTTCATCATTGACTCTAGATGGACCTGTCGATGAAGAAATTCACCGCATCTCTTCTATTTTTGCAACAAATAAATGAATTTTTGTGTACGAAAAATATTTACTTATTTCGACGTATTCACAACTGTCTTCAACAGCATCTTAGGAGTACCAGTTTTCTTCGTACATAGCGACAGGATACCTACCTTTCACTAATGATCGAATCGTTTCAAAAAGAAAACAATAAGGAAATTCTTTGTTTCGAAGCGGAATTTAAAAGAATTGGTGCGATTACACTACAACACTCCGCAATGGAGAGGCTCCGGAGTAATTTCGTATCACCTCCAGAAAGGAGTGATTTTCACTCTGCTAATCAGAGCGTTGTGTACCGGATTGGTATGCCGTAGCGTATGTCAAACCACTGTCCGATATGAAAGTTACTCTGCTTCGATAGCAATTCGGTATAGTGTAACTGGCACCTAATAATCAAAAATTGCTAATTTGCTTTTCCTATAAAGAATTCGCATTTGCAATGAAATAGCCTGTTCTTCGCAGAAAGTACCATCAATAGTATTTGTAAATAATTAATTGTGAAAGCAAGTCTTTCCTCCAGAAAACCATTGAGGACTGAGCAAGAAGGAAAAAACAACCTTAAAGATACTTGTTGAAGTTGGCTTTCGTATCTAGCTAAAGAAATATACAGTAAGTCATTAATTACTTTGGTGATGTGTAGCCCTAAATTTTTCTCTAATTTGTTCTGATTAGCCCGGATAGTCATGTAAAGTGCACAGAAAGATATTCATGCATGAATAAAATATAATACAAGAAAAATTGGGCGGCTATGTTGAGGTCACATTAGGCTGCAAACTTCATTACCTGGGATAACAATGGAAATTTTTGTTGTAAAAGTTTCAGTGCGCATCGAATAGAGTGTCCTTATGCCATTGAATATGGGCATAACTCATTTATATCTCTGACTTGGGTTCATTTGATATCAGATCACTTTTCATATCAGATATTTCATTCATCCTTGTATCATATCGTCTTTCTGTTCTCAGAATGACGCTTGTTCCGCATTGTTTTTGCGGAGTCAAGTCACTCTGCTTCGAAGATGGTATAGAATTAAATTGAACAACTTTAAATTTCACTTGAATGCACGAATCTAATGCAATTTTTCGCCGGAACTCTGTTTCGAAAAAGCAGCCTTGTTTTAAAAAATTGTTTGACGCACTTTCATTCCTCACAAACAAAACGCACTTGCATTCCTCACAAACAAAACGCACTTGCATTCCTCACAAACAAAACAAAATGGTGTAACGAAAGTGTATCCGGTAAGAAATGAGTCCGATGCAGTATGAATCTGGTACTGTGAAAAACTTTTTCACTTGATTCTTATTCTTCAAAAGAGGCGCACAGTTTCCGAAGAAGGGGCGCCAGATTTGCTTCAACTCGTCGAGGGAGGGGCAGCTGCCCCCTCTTAAATCCACTGGTCGCAGAAAATCTTCATACTTGAAATCTTCGACAAGATGTCAAAAGTGACAAAGTAACTTGAAGACTTTGACTGCTAACGTTGATCTATTTCATTAGTTTTTAAAAATTGTTCTTTCTTGATGAACTGCAACGATTCGATTCGATTCAGACAAACGAACCAAACTTTGGTCTTTCACAAGGCATAGACCCAAGGAATCACAACAGAACACGCGCGGTCTTTCACCTCAAATCTCGACCTATTTCCCTTTGACGTTTTTAGTTGAAAAGGTGCATTGTTGTCGGCCAGGAGCAAGACATTCTGAAGAAAAAATGTCCAAATTTTTCATCAATTTCCAGCCATGATATTTTCACTTCAATGGTGCTAGGATACTTGACTCGATATTGCTGAAACCTATTGCTATTAAAAGATTCTCGCCAACAATATCAAAGTTGTTTTCCTGTAAAGTAGGAAATCGCGATAACCTGCTAAAAATATGCAGAAATTTGCTTTATATCATGTTTCCAGGGCAGACTGCAGCTACGCAATGTCCATGGCGATTCCCCACGAAAAGAAAATTACACTGTCATGTTCCACAGGGATCTTTTCTAAGCCTTTTTTGTTGACGGCCATTCGCCCGGAGAACTGCTAAGTAACCTATTAAGATGGTACCACCCTTGCAAGGATTGTCAAGAATCTGAACCGGAGAAAGAACTCAGTCCTCTTTTGGAATGGCTCCAAGACAATAAAAACCTATTAAATTTCCTGATAATATAAGCGATGTCTTTGAATCTTGCTCTAATGCCGAGATAAAATCGATAAAATTAGCGCAAAGCTTCCCACTTTTTTGCTCATTTCGGAACAATGGTTGATAAAATATTTAAAAAACGATGAGATTTTTTACGATCAAACGCCTCACAAGCAACAGAATTTCTCGAATTATCAAATATATTAATTCCAATTCCATTCTCGGCAAAACATGTTGTGATATTATTGAACCGCATTTCCGCTAATGTTCTTTGGTTTAGGTTAGTGCTTGATCTGTGGTTTGGGGGCATACGAGGGACTAGGTTCCAGGTTCATAAATAACCTCCAAACTGATCAGCTAAAATTGTAGCAAAATGTGGTTTGCCTCGTCTGCCAATGCCATGATAGAAAGTCCAAAATGGCCTACATTGGCGGAAAATGCCCAAAAAGTTTTGCAATCAGATTTTGCAAAATAGTTCTTTTGTTTATATTCTTATGTCATTGATAAAATGTGCGTCATTTATTCTCCTCTCCATCTTATTTTGGTTCTGTGTTCAATGCAAAAAATTATTACACTTGCTGCACTAGAAAGGTTATTCTTAAGTGTTTCAATAACTTTCCCATTTCATGTGAAAATTTTGCCTTGTATTTGGTTTTCCTTCGGTCTAAATCAATTTTAGATCCTGTTCTGACAATTCTTAGAATAGAATATTTCCAAAGTTTTTCTTTCCTTTAAACATGGTGGTTGACTTGCTACCAGTCTCTCTCTCCCCTCTACACACCCAGGCAAAAGTATTGCAACACCCAAAACAAAATAGCATAAAGACCTAACCTTAAGAAGCGAACATTTCTTTATGTCAATGACCATGATCTGAATTGTAATCCAAGAAATATTCTTAGTTCGAAACAAGAACTGCTGATTTAAAATTTTGAAAAATTAAAATGGAATATTCGAATTCACGCGTCGTGTAATTTGCTGCCTTATTTACGCACTATTAGCTGATTAGACAATAGCCAAAACTACTGCGTGATCCGCCATTAATCGTCTTCGCAGGTGTTGCATACTTTGGTCCTTATAGTGTATTTCGTAATCTGAAAAATAAAGAAAGAAAAAAGTGAAGAAGAGGGAAGGAGATATATATGTAGAAACATCCGTGGCAACATCAACTTGAGGGGGAATTGCATAAACACAGATTGATTTGAAATTGAAGGGAACAAACATCATCAGTGACATTCACGTAAAGAGACAGATATCTGACGCTTTGAAAAGCATTGGATAGGTGGCAGTTAATCCCCCTGCTCCCTGCTTTAGAGGCCATGATTCGAGTGTGGCCAGAAAATGACTCATGATCAAAAATATTTCTCGATTGCTTGTGTTTGCTGCGATGTTATCATTCTTTTATGCGCAAGAAAACACGAGCAGTGCCATACAAACATTTGATAAGTCATTGTCAAATGTGAATTTGAAAACCGTTTTCTATTTATAACGAAGAAACAAATTAGTCAAAAAATTTCAGTGGATGTTGATAACTTTCAATCCGAAGGCAAGAGGATTTTAAAAATCAGTAGGCAACAGTCCTCAATCTTTTTTGAAAGCAATGAAACATGTTCATATACGCAGCAAAATATATTGCGGGGATTAAGCTTCCTAGCCCCCCTCTCTCATCCCCAGGAATCAAGCCCCTCCCGAAAGAATAAAAAAGGTAGGTCGGAATTAGCAGGATTACAGATTAGGATTATGAAATGAGGAATAGTAGGAAAAGGCAAAAAGAAATGGGCGCTTTGATTGTTTGTCTTGGATTAGCGACAGCACAAGACCGATGAAGAGAACAACAGGATTATAATCACAAATTCAAATTATTTACTTCAGCTGCTTTATGGTATTATCAATGCAATGGAGGCAAGCTTTCGCATTATGCTAAAGTCCCTTCTTTATATCCAAGATCGTGAATCTTGCTGGTCATGGGTCAATAAAGCAAAACAAAGGCTTCTAACCATCCAAAACCGCTATTTTTCTTGCCGAGTTCAGTCTTGATATTCAGTAGTTTCAGTCACAAGGAGGCTCTTGTACTCCATCTGAAGACAAACCTGTTAACATAATTTTACTTCAGCTGGTGCCTTTCACAAACAGGTATGTTGTGTGGTATGTAGTATTCATTGTGGTATCCGTATAGTGACATTAGGAAACACGCAGAGAATTCTCTATACAAGTTGCTAGCAGAAAATTTCACTTCCTGAGCGACTGAATCGATGGAGAAAGGGAAGACAAAGTTTTGATTTTTTTCTTTTGCTGTCGGCAGCTGCTCAATTGATACCCTGCATTCGTACGAAAGATTTCCCACAGTTCTAATTGTGTCAAGATGTTTGATACGGAAAATAGTGAATTACACAATGTCCATTCAGCTGGTCTGATATTTTTATTATTTCAGGGAAAGTTGGTCGGCCTTAGATGCTAGTACTACCCTTATTGCAAATTATTATAATAATCAGACAAAATAAGTAGAAATGATCAAGAGAGTGAAATTTGGATTTTATTATGAATCGTTAAAAAATTATTAGGTTATTCTAGGAAATAACTTATCGAATAAAAGAGCTAACCGCAAGCCTATTGAGGCCCTATTAGGGGTACTTGAAATATGAAATAACTGCAATTTTTGGAGGAAAAAAATAAATATTTAAGTTTTTTAACTTTGAGATATGAAATAATATTAATTCCAAGAATGAAATATCAAAATAGCAAAATAACGGAGTGTTTTATTAAATTCTGTGTGAGGATTATTAATTTGATCGCAGAAGTCACACAGAACAGCGAGTATTGAGTTGTTTAGATATTTGTCGAATTCAAAACTCCGAGAAATGACGAGAAAGACAATATTCCTCTCCCTAAACTTAGAGTAGTAATGACATTCATGACCAGCGAAACGTATTTGAAATTGGAGGGGCCAAAATTTAAAGATTATTAAAATCTTAAGGCCATCCCCATGGTTAGCGGCAAGAGAAAATAGGAAAAACATACTCTAGGGATGCCAGGAACCTCATCTAAGATAGATTCAGTGGTGTAACGTACGGTGTGCACCTTTAAGCACAAAACTAAAGGCCCAGAAAGTTTTATGCTCCCGAGACAATTCTCGGAAAACTGGTATTTGGATGAAAGTAGGTGTTTCTAAATAGCATTCACAACATCATTTAAATGAGTGAAAGACTGGGTAAGATTTGTGAATGTGAACAACCGTATAATAATGATGTAAGCTTTCGCATGACAATCATTGCTACTATTTCATATACAGTACTGTATCACTGATCAATTATTGATGGGCTTTTGGCAACATTGGTACACCAATAGTTATTTAAAATGAAGAACAGACCACATTTTCTGACAATCATAAACAATATGTACTCTGTAGAAATTAAGAACCTAACTAAGAGCCTACTTAGCCTAAACTGTCAGATAGTAACCCCATAATACAAGAACCTGTTTTTGCCAAACTATGAAAAAGTTGGTTCTTACACGCGGTTTTTACCGTATATAGAAGTGTTCTAAGCCAAAGTAGAAAGAGTGTCTTTTAAGCGTTTTCAGAACCCCACCAAGCTATTCATAGATAGAGTAAGTAGCAAGCATATACTTCAGTTTAGTTGGTATCAAAGAATTAATAAATCCAATTCCTCATTTGGAAGCAGGATGGACTTTCGATAATTTTGAAATATTTTATAAGTTTATTTTGAAATACGAAATAATGACAAGATTCCGTAATGAAATATGAAATAATGTCATCCCCCCTTGTAGGTCCCCCCTATTGGTCTTCATGTAAGCGTAACAGAACTGTTTACTTAGGAATGTTAAGGTTTTAAAGGACGTCTTGATTCTCTGACTAGTTAAAAACCATGCAGTACCTATAGTAGAGTAGCTCGCGGTTAAAAAAGAATCTCAAATTGTGCAATGAGTGGGTATCTTCTCAGTCGCTAGCAATTTCGTTCACGGGAGATGACCAGGTCTCATTTGCTAATTCGTTGAGCCATCCCTTATGTAATGACAACTTCGAAAGTTTGCCAACGAGTCACCCCAAGATGCCTAAAAGCGGAAAGGTTTTTGGAAACTTGCATGTTATTTACATTTTATACAAGAATGCATAAATACCCTAAATTGGGGTCAGGCTAGTGGTTTTAACCTTTCGCTAAAACATGAAGCTGAATTGCTGTTAACATGTTATTCAACTATTAGGGTGAAAGCAAAAAAAATTTAGACACGCGGCGATATTTTACAGCTAAAAACGTCGGCTGTTTTGATAATGTATCAAAAAAGTTAACATGGAAGAGATAACATGGAAAACACACAGATAACATTGACTGTGGGGATGAGGAGCGTATTTTTTCAAAAAGACCACAATTTGCCAGCTAGTCTAATAACTTTAGGCCAGGATTGTAGTTGATTACATGAGAATAAAGACTGCATACTTTCCCATACCTTCCTCCATCCAACCCCTCTACATATTGCATGCTTCCCAAGATGAAACAGCAAAAATATTTATTTATCTTACTGTGAAATATAGCAAATTAAAGGAGTAGAAAGGATCTGTGAATTGACAAAATTTTAGAAAAGTAAACAGATAATTTAAATTTCTGTTTTCCAGTTAGAATATGATTTTTTCAAAAAAATAGATTCCATTCCATTAAACGCTACCAACCATCAACTAATATAGCAAGAACAAAATACTACAATCAAAGAAATGTTTGAAGGCTAGATAATTTCAAGGTAACCGTTTATAAACGTTGTTAGACCGCATTGATTCTTTTCCTCTTTACCCACAAAACGGAAAATGTTGGTAATGCGGGATAAGTGGATGGTCAAACTTAGTTTCCAAACAACATTGCAATGTAGAGAGAAGTGACGTTGAAATTCATGTCATTTATAAAAATAAAACGTTTTTTATAGCAAACGCTGGAAAAATACATCAATAAACATGAGTCTCAATATATTTTGCATAGAACTGTACTACTGAACTTTAGGATGCGAAGGTTCCAGAGAAAATGGAACAAACCTGTGATTGGGAAAATTTCTACTTATCTAAAATTCTTGATAGTTTCCCAAGTGTCTTCATTGCCTATTATATTTTAGGCACCGGGGAACGTTGAGAAAAGTGAGGGTCTAAAAAAATGGGGGGACTAAAACCGAATAAAAAGTTGCTTGACATTGGTAAATTTTTGCACTTTTGGCAAAAAGTGGGGGGCTATAGCCCCCACAGCCCCCCTTTTTCGCGGTGCCTGTATTTTATCGACTTGTGTTGATTGATTTGCATGCAGAAAAAAATAGTTGGTATTATTTCTATCTTCTATTGAAATTTCAGGGCTTGTTTTGGCTGAGGCTGTAAGGTTGCAAACTTCTACATGTTTTTATGAACATGTTTCTTTGATGTCGCTCGTCTATTGTGCTTTCGTTCTTTGCCAGGCATTACCACCCATGGCCAGCCTTTTCACTCTTTGAAGCAAAAAACCTAGAGCATAAATTTATTGGCAATTAGACTTGAAATGAAGACTGAGAATTAATGAAGATTTTAATATTTACTGTTAAGAGACAAATGCAGACCCTTTCCGCATCAACATCTGCTATTGAGGCCCTACAAGGGGGGTTGACATTATTTCATATTTCATTACGAAATCTTGTCATTATTTCGTATTTCAAAATTAACTTATAAAATATTTCAAAATTATCAAAAGTCCATCCTGCTTCCAAATAAGGAATTGGATTTATTAATTCTTTGATACCAACTAAACTGAAGTATATGCTTGCTACTTACTCCATCTACGAATAGCTTGCTGGGGTTCTAGAAACGCTTAAAAGACACTTTTTCTATTTTGGCTTAGAATACTTCTATATACGGTAAAAACCGCGTGTAAGAACCAACTTTTTCATAGTTTGGCAAAAACAGGTTCTTGTATTATGGGGTTACTTTCTGACAGTTTAGGCTAAGTAGGTTCTTAGTTAGGTTCCTAATTTTTACAGAGTACATATTGTTTTTGATTGTCAGAAAATCTGGTCTGTTCTTCATTTTAAATAACTATTAGTGTACCAATGTTGTCAAAAGCCCATCAATAATTCATCAGTGATACAGTACTGTATATGAAATAGTAGCATTAATTGTCTTGCAAAAGCTTACATCATTATTATACGGTTGTTCACATTCACAAGTCTTACCCAGTCTTTCACTCATTTGAATGATGTTGTGAATGCCATTTAGAAACATCTACTTTCATCCAAATACCACTTTCTGGGCCTTTAGTTTTGTGCTTAAAGGTGCACACCGTACGTTACACCACTGAATCTATCTTAGATGAGGTTCCTGGCATCCCTAGAGTATGTTTTTCCTATTTTCTCTTGCGGCCAACCATGGGGATGGCCTTAAGATTTTAATAATCTTTAAATTTTGGCCCCTCCAATTTCAAATACGTTTCGTTGGTCATGAATGTCATTACTACTCTAAGTTTAGGGAGAGGAATATTGTCTTTCCCGTCATTTCTCGGAGTTTTGACTTCGACAAATATCTAAACAACTGAATACTCGCTGTTTTGTGTTTTGTGGCTTCTGCGATCAAATTAATAATCCTCACACAGAATTTAATAAAACACTCCATTATTCCTCTATTTTGATATTTCATTCTGGGAATCAATATTATCTCATATTTCAAAGTTAAAAAACCTAAATATTTATATTTTTTCTCCAAAAATCGCAATTATTTCATATTTCAAGTACCCCTTGCAGGGCCTCGCTACTCACTCTGGATCCCATAAGAAAATAAATTTTAAAGGACTTTTCTGTTTTTTGACATTTTTAAGGTTCACATTCATTCTTCATTTTATTATTCATTATTTGAAGGTCCATATTTCTTTTATGCAGGTAACCCGAGGACAACTCTAAAGGCAGATTATTCCCTTTTAATTGCCGATGAATAACATTTCTTGCAAGGATGACTGACAGCGTTAGCTTGGCATTCTACATTGTAAACTTTTTCATACTATTTGCTTCTCTCTTCTTGAATTCTCTTGGTATCTACCTTCTTTATGCTCAAAGACTTACCATTACTGGACAAAATATGATTTTGGTGAACCTGAGTGTATTGAAGATATTAATAACAATTACAGAAAGTGTGATTTGTGTGATGGAGATCCTTGGAAAGGGAGACACTAACCGAGAGTATCAAGTTATTGATATCATCAATGGCGGTCTTTATGGTATAAACGACCTCACTGTCATAACTCTCACTATCGACAGATTCATAGCTTCTGTCAGCCCATTGGTTTATAACTTCCATGTAACAAAGAAGAAACTTATGACAGCCGTTGCTATCTCCTGGCTTGTTGGAACTGGAGGAATAATTCCTTTTTTCTACGCTGAATACGATGCGTTGTATGATATTTATTACAAAATAGTATTTTTAGTTTGCGATGGGACAATCATTCTTATAGCATTTATTACATACGGATCGATACTTAGAGCATTGTTAACAGCAAGGAAGAGACTGTCAGGATTTTCGCGTGGTGGACCAAAACACTTCAAACGGAGACATAATAAATTCTTTTACGTAGCTGGTCTAATAATCGTCAGTTTTATCACATTTGTGGCTATCCCAGATGCAGTGTATGTCTCTTTGGTTATTGTGCAAGAAAGGGAGGACCCAATGATTGAGCGTGCAGTCGGACTTGTGTGGAGCTTCTATCTCATTGCCGATCCACTGATCTATGTGTTTCTTCAAAGCCAGACGAAAGCAAAATTAATGCAGCTCCTTTGTGGAAAAGAGGTTAATGCAGTGACAAATGGTGAAACGGCAAGGACAATTACGAAGATGTAGGCCCAGGATGGTAGCACCATAACCGATAACAATTGCCATTTTTCATGGATTATGTGTAAGATATGGCGTAAAATTTTTATAGTTTAGGCAGTGCTGCACAAGTAAAATAGTGTTTCCGGCAGATTTTTTGTTCGGAGGGGGTGGGGGTTTTGAACTAGCAGACTATGAGAATCTTGGTTCCACCTAATTCATCTAAACATCTAAACAGAACACTTTTAGAATGCCGGTTGTCACTGGCCCAGTTTTTTAAAGCTTTAGTACACTGCAATTTGTTTGAAATGATCACTGTCCGGCTTAAGAGTTGAGTAAACAATATTTCTTTCCTTTCTTCGTTGATATGGAAGCTGTTAAAGTCATATAACACCTTAAATGAAAGTCATATAACACCTTATATCAGGACTTGTTAAGACGTATAGCTAATTTTACCTCTCTCAACTCTTTCACCATCTTTATATGCTGTTGTCCTTGTTTTTCTCAAAGACAGTCACAATCTTTGTGTACTTGTTTGAAATGGTAGCAGTACTTCGGTCTTCATTTGTCCCTTGGTAGATCTTCCAAGTTCCAAGCTGCACCTGTTCAATTTATCCGCACGCGATAGTTCATCGGAGCTAACGTTGGTCACTTGTGCCAGTTCCTTACAATGAAGCCCTAACAGTCCTTCTGATGGCATCATCTACAGTTCTGAGAGCCATTGACACAGGTGCAAGTGGATACGACAACGTTGTCTTGAGATCAACTCCTGCAATGTTCTTGTTCGAGTCCACAACTTTAAAGCCAAACGTGTCTCTCTTAAAATTGTTTTTTCTTTCTTTAATCTTCCACCTAATTCTACTGAAGAGTCATTGAAGGTTGCAACAACATTATTTCCAGTTAAATTTTTAGGCAAGTATTTTCGAGAGCACTGTCAGGTTTTAACTCCTCTCAGGTTTTAGACAATCCCGACAACACTGTCAGGTGTACCCAAGCTCATTCGGGTGTACCCAAGACCTTTGATAAAAGGGTGGGCTTTGGAAGAAGAGGTCCATTTTTGAATCTGGAAAAGTCATTGAAAAAGGTGTTTTCCGCAACCAGTTTAGGCCAAGATTTGGCTGCAACAAGATTTTTGCTGCATCTCAAGGATTCTTTAGAACGAGATTTTTGCATGTATAGAGGTCATTTGCAACTTATAATAGAAATGTTGGTAGTTTTGTTTTACAATGCGTTCTTTCTTCACTTATCATCATTCTAGAATAAAGCTATTAACCTATAAAAATAAGAATCATATAACTTGAACTTCAGCTTTATACAACAAGTACAGCTTTAGCCAAAATGGTGTGACAGAATCAGAGTGTAGCAGAGCAGGGGCTCCTGTTCACTTTCTTCTTTTGTACAAAGTCTAGTGTAATATTTCAGTAAAAAGAACATAAATATTTCACATAGAAATCAGAAGAAAGGGTTCTTTTTTAGATCACTCGGATGAGCTTGGGTACACAATGATTGAGAATGGACAAGTCGGACAATGATTGGGCGAAATTTGTCGTGTGTTTTATAAAAATTAAAGAAAATCTAAGTTTTTAGTACAGAGGTTCGAAAGACAAAAAGGAATCATAGATTTCAATCTCTTGCTGTCATGCAGAGAAAATCAAAAGATCCATATTCTGCATTTTCTGCATGCAATCTAAATCGCTATGATTTTCAAGGTCGTTTGATACTTCAGTTAGGCTTCCTGGTAGATAGATCATGGTTGGGAATAATAAGGCGTCTATCTTCAGAGTGATATTTGTTACCAAGAACATTCCTGGGAACTTTCGAAAATCCAAGCTGAAGTGAAAAATGGCCTCTAACTCAGGTGACAATTTTAAGAAACTTTGAAACAATAAAGCTATTTTTAGATGATCCGGTAGTTTTTCCTTTACTGTCATTTATCAGTTAGTAATGAATACCGCTGCATATTTCCTATGGACGGCAATTCAAAAATTAGCCCCATCAAAAGATGTATTAAACTATTTTTATGTCTATTCAAGGATGAAAATTTTAAGATTAAGCAATTTCCTTGTGAAACTGAGGCTCTTGGCCCCCCTTAACAGACCAAAATTCATGTTTAAGCATTTTCGAACAAGAAATATGCTTAGTCAACTTTAAAATTGTAATTTTTTTCTATTTAAACTGTTTTCTCATTGATTACCTTTATATTCGCAAAAACGAGATTTCAAACATGATAAAGAGGCTGAAAGCCCCCCCTTCAAAAGAAAATCCCTGTATAACATCGATTTTCGATATCAGCGCCCTCGAATTGATCAAAAGCACTTAGTCCCTTAATTTTCGCTCTCGGGTGACCATTCTCCTATTTTCCGCCAGGTCTAAAATCGAGGAAAGCAATCTTAATATGGCTAAGAAAACCAATAAATAAACTTTTAAACCACAAGGCTAAATGATGTTGAAATACCATAGGTTTTGTGAAGCGATGTAGGATACACACTTTTTTATATGAGAATACCTAAATTTGTGATGCGTTTAATACTCTTAATTTATTTCTGTTATGAGGTTAAGATTTTATCTTAATGTAAACGAGTTGCATTATAGTGTTGATGACTCGGATACATCTATTTCAAAACATTTAGTTTTAAACTCAAAAAATTAAACTCTTGATGAAGCTTAAGTCTTGTATTGTTCCTAAATTACAGCGATTTTGAGCCTTCATATTATAGATTATGTTCTTATATAAAAAGTGTATATAAGTGATGAGCATTGGATTTTCTACATTCGCCTTTATTTTATTAGTAAAAACGAGTACTTGCTCTTACGAATAAGATTTTTTTGTAAAGTGATCTTTGGGGTATGTTATATTATTTGCTTTAGATAGGTATTACGCACTTGAGAAGTTTGATGTATGAGAATAAAGAGCTATTTGCAAAAACTCACAAAATTGTTTTTTCCATTCGCTTGCATAAACCTGTTACATATTTATACTTACCGAACCCGTTGATATCCACATTGCTTTGTGGGATAGTTAAGATTCTTTTCTTTTATAAAAAGTTCATTAGTTAGGAGCAGATGGTAAAGAAAGAAAGCGCATGAATTCTCATGTTTGAAGTTGAGTGGGAAGTGAGAAAAGATGTATGAATTCAAGTGTTACTGTATAAAAAACAGTATACTTAACTGACCAATGTTGAGGCATCTTCAGTGTTGTTTGATATAGGGTGGCAAAATGATTGGCTTTCCGCTTAAAATTTTGCTCAAAGTTCAACTTGCAATGGATAAGTCAACGGGGGCTAGGCTGGGCGATGACATTTTTAGGCTAAAGCCGAAGCAGTATTTCACAAAGAAAAATTCTTTAAATGATCAAACCTGGTGATCTTCAACTGGTATGAATGGCAATAAAAGTTGTGAAAAATGACTTGACTTAAACGCCTTCCCAACAAAGTAAATTTCCCAAAAACGCAGTCTTTTTAGTGTGATTTGAGAAAATGTCGATGGTAGATCCTAGCTTAAACCTTGTGTTGGTACAAACATTACAATGAATGAAGGAACATCGTTTTATTTGAAACACTGGATAGTAAAAAAAGGACCTTCCCTGGAAATAATATTTTGTTGCTGTGCTGTTTTTTTTTTCATGTCTTTATTGTCTCGCCAGTTACAATATATTATGACCAAAGACAATAAACAACAAAACGCTAAAATCCCAAAAATGACCAAAAAGAGTTTCCCAATTTTTTGAAACGTTGGGCACAAGCAAGTTTGATATAGAAATGGTGCCTCAGCTGTCCGCTTGCTCTGCTAAAAGTATTTCTTTTGGCTATGGCCTAACGTTATTTGTTCGAGGACGCTTGCGGAAAGAAACTTTTTTAATCAGCTTAAGCAGAGTGGACATTGAAATAATGCAACAAATTCGATAACAACAACATCGACATTATTTGATCGTCATTACCTCTACAGAAGACATTACTTTACAGTCCTTGTTATACAGCGTAGTGTTGCTTTGTTTCAGTCCTTGTTATAAAAATATAATCTATTTACATAAATGAAAGCGCTAGTCTACGCTAGTACTCAAAAGAAACACCCGATTACGTCATGATATCGTTAGTATAGCTTAAAACAAACAATACCCCAACTTTGAGTTAGCAATCAAGACTGTATAAAAACGTAGCGAATATCGAATGGAAAATTACACCAGGTTGCTTGTAAAAAGGAACAGACCTCCACGGGCATTGTCGCTTACGACACGATTCTACAAGGCCACTTGCGAGAGGCATTGACAATTTAGAACTGGTGGTGTTCTCGTTTGAAATGGTACATACATAAATCAACGTGAAAACCTGCATCCAAATAAATCGGAAAGTAGCCATTGCATATGCAGAATAAGAACGTTCACAGAATAAGACTGTACGACTTCACCAGTATTCTTCCTAAGTCGCTTGTGCGATCAATCTTTTGGCTTCTACAGTTGAATCTGGAGATCACTTCTTACTTTCTCAAGGACACTGACAATAGAGAAATTCCCAAAGTAGGACAGCTTTAGTCTTGCTCGAAAGTCTAATGTTTCCAACAAAAAACAATTTTTTTTGTATAATAGGCTAATGATAGCTACAGTTATTTGTTTGGTGTAGGTCAGTAAAACACTTGCCGACCGAGCAGAGAGCAAAGAGAATCTCTAGCTGCTTATAGAAGTTGGATAACCTAATTACATTCTACAAAGCTCCTGCTTTTTGTTAAAAGCAATTTACCTTTCTGATATTGACAAAAAATCTAAAGATAAAGATTAAATTCAACGTAAATAATGTCGGTTTCCATCAAGATATCAACCTGCACAACCTGCAAAACGTAAGATTTTCATACAAATAAGATTGCTGTCTAAATACACAAAGAACATGCCAATTTCGCTTTTAAATGTTTATTAAAACCAGTTATTGTCTATAGCTGCAGTATATTTTTGCAGCATTTTGATAACGGAATAAGACAATTGTTGACATCATGCTACACTTCATATAAACGAAGCATTTGAGTCATTGAAGATCTAACGGCCTAGCATCGATGCACCCTACAAATCCGATAGAAACTGAACAATTAAGAGTTTTACCTTTGTGCAGAAAATTTACACGTAAACCTCCCGCAATAAACAGATAAAATGCCACACCAGTTATGGAGTACGTTGTGGCAGAAGTAGTAACTGAAACAGTAATGGGCGGCTCCCATGTCGTTACTTTTTACATGTTTAAGGTTCAAGGATTAGGAAGTGGGGGTCTTTCTCACATAATCACTAAGAGATGTGATAGGGTCAGTATTGCCACTGTTTGCAGGCGATACGGGTGTAGTGCTTCCTCTGCCAGTGGGACTCGATCGCTTATCGGGTGATGCTCGTTCTCCAGACTTTGGTGACTTCCTTTCGGATGAGCTACCCTGTTTGCCACAATCCCTCTGATGATTTTCCCAGTCTTTATGCTGACAAAAAGCTCCACAGTACCTCGCTACATTGCAGCCACTGCACGTCTCGTTGGCTTTGCGACCGCAGTTCCAGCAGTTCTGTAGAAAGATATGTATATCAGTTGGCTTCTTAACAGAATATCAGACAGATTATTTTACCGTAATATTTCCTGAAATGGTAGCTCGAGCAAAGAAGGTTAGAGTTCATAACTACAAGATTCTATCTATAGGTCTTTGGTTCCTGCAAGAATGTATGGTTAATTCATTTGCCAGATTATATAGTCCGTTTGAAAGACTGCCAATTTTTAATTTTTTTATCAATCACAAATAGAAGAAATACCAACAAAGCATTTTCAAAATTCTAGCTTATACATTACATCATACTTGAAATCGAAGCAGGACGACAGTAACGCAAACAACAAAGAGTCGAATTGTCAAACTGTCTTTAGTGTTAAAGGACTCAGTGAAACATTGCTTTGCTAACAAAAATCGCTATTATAGTGTAGTTATCTAGCACAAATTCTGCCAAAACAAATTGACGGCATCAATCTCAAGTTCACATATTCTTCCCAATAATCGCACTTTCAACATATCAGTATCTATGAAATGCAACATGTTTAGTGGGTCGCAAAGCCCTGTTGAGTCAAGCACGAGAACGCTACTGTTTTCATTATAGGCGCCCAATTTGACAGACTTAAGTCCTTCGACCTCTCGGTGCATACCTCACGCGAATTGTCTTGCTTATTTACCATGCTAAGTGTCTCGTCAGTTGCTTGTCTCCTTGCTTCAGACACTGCCTTATCCATTCTTTGGTGAGCTTGTGCCAAGGCATCGTTCGCTTTTTCCTCCGCAGCACAGACAGCCTTTTGCAACTCAATAACCGCCTGACGTTTGACATCACTCACTGCTTCCTCGGCTCTTCGCCTTACCTCAGCAACTCTGTCTTCTGTTTGTTTCAACGTTTTTGCCATTAAGTCAGCTATACAAAAAAAGGGCGTCATTCAAGTGTAAAGCTACCTAACTAAAACTGGATATAAATATTAATCAAATACAAATACAAAAAACGCTTTAGCTAGAAACATTATCATGATTGCCCAGATTAAATACACACAGGTCAGTCAGCGTAAACAATGGATAATCCATGTATTAAAAACAAAAAATGTCCACAGTTCAACATGGGATAAAGACAACGGGCCTGAAAATTATCTGTCCACCAGAGCAACAACAAACTCTGCTTTCTAAATGCAAACCAATTAAATGACTCGATTTAAGGAAACAGTTTTCAAGAAATGTAATTTTTCTTGGTGTTGCTAGAAATTTCCTATTTCAATATCATAATCGTTTCATATGAATATTTTGATGGAAAGTTTCGTATAGATAAATTACTAATGGAGACGAAGATAAATTGTCAATCGATTAAAATCTGTAGCTAAAGATTTCTCAGGGTATATTGGAATAATTTGTAAATAAAGATTAGAGATAAAGCATCATCACCTGCCCTTCTTTTCACTTCAGCTTCGGCTTCGTCAGTCATTCTCCTTGCCCAGGTGGCCATTTCCTCTCTATCGCGGATGCACCTCTCTTGCAAAACTGAGACAGCCCGCTTTGCTTTTTCTATGATGCTCATTACACACTGCAGCATCTAGAAGAAAATGACTTCCAAATTCATAATAATTCAGACACATTCTGCCAATCTGAGTAACTACAACAGAAAGCAGTTCGGGTCAATTATGCACAGCTCATAGCGACACAATAAACATTTATTGTAGTCTTGAATATTTTAGTTAAAGATACCATAGTAGGATACACGGTGTATGAATTTGAACACCTTATATCCAAATATAGTTTCTTCTTAGGATTTAGGTTTATTCTTGAAATTCTGTTCTGCAGAACTTACAGCCGATTTAGATGCTGGCATTTGCATCACCTTTCCATCTCAAGGCCAAAAGTCAGTGAAAAACCTTTGAGACGAGCACTATTTTCACACTGAATGAATCTCAAGCTCAGAAACTGTTGCTAGCAAACATTGTTTCAAGGGGGAGAAGGAAATGCAAATGAAAATATGCAAAATTCTGGCGTAGTGTACCGAGACTTTGTATGATAGAGGTTTTCAACCAATTTGCAAGCTATACAAAGACCTCACAATCACAAAAACCTCCAAAATAAAATACGATGTTCAACATTTACCGTTTCAACGTTTCGCCAATCATCAGAATCTTGTTTGATGCTCTCGAGCAATCTTTCAGCAAAAACGGAACCATCCATATCTGACGGGGCTGAAAAGAAATAAATTTACAACATGTGATAACACAAATCATCAATTGGAAAATAGTGATCTACAAAGCTTCCGCGACAGATTTGCGGAAATAAAGTGTTAAAGATTGCAAGCTGGCAAAAGAAGATGATACTGGAACAATTGTAAACAGCAAAGGAAAGGACTACTATTGTTTGGAACATTGGGCTTGTAACGGCAAACAGCAAAGGAAAGGACTACTATTGTTTGGAACATTGGGCTTCCCAAACGGCAGTAACGGCATACACACTGGCCCCGGCGGCATACACACTGCCCCCCCCCCACCTTCTCTCTGTCCTGAGCGTTTGTTCATATACGCCAAGTATAGCTTTCTTTTTACCAGGGCTCTCTTTGTTAGAAACACAATTTTGAGTCAACAAAACCTCCTCTAGGAGTAACTTTTCACTGCAGACGAATAAAGAGCTGAACGAATTAAAAGAGGGTCATACAGTCATACAAAATACGTTCCTAATGTAATGCAATCCAAATAACTAAAACTATGCTAAATTAGTCATTGGCTTTCACCAACCTGGGCAACTTCTCTTGTTTGGCGATAGACCAATATCAGGTATTCCATTTTCTTTGGGTCTAAAATGGAGAATATCAATCGTAAAACACATAATTTACAGAGCAAAAAGCAGAGACTTGGCTTTTCTAACGTGACACTGACATCCCTGCACCGAGGCCAGCTGCACATGAAATTATTACGAACGCTTTTCAAGCCGTGGTCTGGATTATTCAGAACTATTAAAACGATGTTTATGAGGACATTCCTTCGAAGTTTTAAAGAAAAAACAGCAGCCATAAACCTAGTTGTCAAATTGTCTTTTTCTCTTAAGTTCATCTCAGTTTGATAATTGCATGCTTGCAAAGCAAATCACGTCATACGCAAATCTTCAACAATATTTTCCAAGTGTCTAAACAGGAAGGCAACTAAGCTTTGAAGGTCAACCGAATCCCAGCGGGGTTACAAGAATTAACTTTTGTGCACATGATTCTGATGAAGAATCATGTCTGGTTTGTAAACACTTAAGGTTCATAATTTTCAATTTAAATCTCTTGGTATAAATTGTTTGCGAGAAGAGAAGTCGCTGTTTGGACTAAAAAACAAACTCATTGTGCTCTTTTTAACTACTAACATTTCTCAAACCATACAACAATGTGGATTATTAAAAATGACTTGTTTTGACTGTAACTGTATTTACATTCAAAGAAAGAGGCATTAAATCAAACACTTGTGGATGGAATGAGAAAACCCGGATTAGCGGAAGCATGTGCCATGCACCTGCTTATCAAAATTCTCTTCTGGCTTAGCTCATAACCATGGTGATAGCACAGGTGTCAACGGCTAACGTTTCTATGCTAGAGAAGTGTTCCAACTATGTCATTAAACACAGAAGAAACAGCAAAAATGAATGGGCATTTAGGATGCTATTGAGATCTTAGGATGATTAACTTGATATTATGATGCAGCTGAACAGCTTGACCACATTTCATGAGTACCACATTTGCAAGCATAGAGCATCAATCCAAAAGGCATGACTGAGTTGAACGAAAACGCGTCTACTTCTGTGGTCGAAAAATTCTTCAGTATAACGTTAGCCAAATGATCGCTTGAACTCATCACGGTCTTGTCTTTTCTTGATAAATAGAAGTTACTGTTACTTGGTAGGAATCCTACGGTGCTATTTGCAGCGTGTCGATAATCATTCGAGGCTATTGTATTCTATATCGTTTTCTAAACAATAAGCGGGGTGATAGTTTTTGCTCACCACTAGCAAAGAGAAACAACACCAACATGTGATTTTAACATAAAAAATACATTCCAAATAGCTGTGAAGTACTCTAACGACAATTAATGCATGACCTAGCCAACTCCAATGGAGCAGGTACCTGACACAATGCATAATACTCTTTCATTTATAATTACAATCACACAAATTACCTGCTTTATATTAAACAACAACCTCCTTGAAGGACACGTGTCAGCTCGATGTGGATTGTTTATCAGGGTTACAATTTTAATAAACTAGGCCATTGAGCGTTCCTTAGATTATTTTTATGTGACCTACTCCATTAGAAGTCCCCTCTAAGAAACTATGGCAGGATTTTCAGACGCAGACATAAGATTAAAAACTTATATTAGATTCTGCTACTGAAAACATGGTAAAAATATTAGATAGTGTAATAACAATGGGAAGTCATTTCAATCAATAAAATCCTCTGTGAAAAGACCTAAATGATATGTTGTGACATTGTTTTTCTCACTAAAAAAACTTTCCGCAGATTTGGAGGGATTATAAACTGAAGAATATAGTGCACAAGTTACATGATGGTTTAAAAGGGGAAATGATAAAAAATACAACAAGGTTGTCATGCTATACAAAGGCAATAAAGGTATCCATAGTTTTTCTGAGAGAGTCATTTCAGAAAAGAGCCTTTTAGAGGCTCAGTGATATAATGTATCTGATATTGCTTCATGGTTCTTTGAGTAAATTTTTTTCCTCCAAACACAGCATCAAAACAAGCATTAAAAACTCCAGATCCTTTAACACACTATCTAGACCATGTAAAGTATGAAAAACATACTAAGATGTACAATTGGTATGAAATCTCTAACTTCTGACGTAACTGTAAAAGTTCTAATGAAACCTTCTTCTGTTAATGTCCCCCCCCCCCCTTCAAAAAGCCTCTGTTCTAAAAAGACCAATGAAGTAAGAACCGTATCTATTAATCCCCTTTCCCTGATCTTTTGGAAGAGAGATGTTCAGGATTGAATCAGAGCAGTAGGTAATCCTGGAAACAACCAGCTCTTAAACAAGAATTGCAGGCTACCTTGTAAGAGTAAGAGGAAACAAGAACTGCGAATCTAACAAATCATTAAAATTCAAAAGATGCTTCTTACCTTTCATGTTCAACCTTTCTCTTGTCTCCAACCCTTTCACCAACAAACTCTTCTGGGTCCAAATGAAGTCTCTCTCTGTCATGTAAAAGTGGTTCATGCTGGTTCATGTATTGATGAGGGGACTGCTTTGCCATCTGAGAGCACTGAATCAACTCTTGTTGCAGTAAGGGTAGATTTGCCTAAATTCGTACAATAAGGTATACATAAACATATATTGACAAATGAATTCAACATATCATGCGGCAACAAATAGTTCTTAACAGACACTTAGGGGGTATAGAGCAAGACAGTTCTAAGTTGCAACTCCAAGTTTCTCCAGTGTGTATAGCTATGGCTATAAGCGTTGAGTACTATGACAGACTGGTAAACAGTTATTTTCATTAATGCAGAACAGATATAGAGAGAATACACATACACAAAATATTGAGCAGATGAATTGTAATTTAGCTTGTTGCTACAGGGCATGCATAAATACTTTTTAACCAGGATCTAAATTTGAAAACTTTATACAAAATTGAAAAAAAACTCCAGAGGAGAACACAACAAAAATGTCAGTTACCTTCAAAAACGGTATTACAAAAGGTCTCAGTGGAAAGTTTGTAGCATCTTGCAATTGCTGATGGAATTCCTCCACTGTCATTGCATTATTCTACAACAAAGCAGAGTGTATTGGCTATAAACCAGATGCTGAAAGCTAAGATCATTGCTGAAATTAAACATCACAAGATATTGGAAGAGAAAACATGTCAAAAATATTCCACAAATCTTAAAGCAGTTTAGTTTCCACCTATGATGTAATAATATGGCTCTTTTTTGCTAGTCTAAACCTGTTAAGCTAATAAATCTTTTATATAAATTTTTGTTGTTAACTTTTCAATACTGGCCTACTTGATGCCTGAAAATGACTTGTAAACATAGCAACTTATTTTAAGAGGTAGAGAGATCAGTAACCCTTCATAGCTGTTATTGGAGCATATAGATAAATATACTTTATCAAGAATAGTGTGAAGCTCAATAAAAACATTTTACAATTTTTGTGTAAAAAGGAAACTTTAAAGATTATGCCATACATGAAACAGTGCATTTGCTAATATCCACAATTAAAAATAAATTTCCAGAGCAGGATTATGAAAGTGCATATTTCACACATTAAAAATTGTCAGTAAACATTTGTGGTTGTCATCTCATGCATCGGATGCAAGAATGTCTAGAGTGCCAATGCCCATTAAATATGTTCACTCAATCCTAAAAGGACATTACACATTTTGTTTGTCTTAATTAGCAATACCAATAAGAAATCTACTCATTTGGAACAAAAATAGTTTTGCCTAAGTTTTAAAATGTTCACCTCAATCAATAACTGGGGTGGAACAGTGGCGTAAATGTGAAAACTCATAGGAGGAGCAAAAAAATTAGATTTTTGGACATAAATGGCATTTTAAATTTTTCATGAATCTGAGCATAACACAACTAAGTGAAATAAAACAGAAAATAAAGTCTTGTCATTTATTCCACATCATTGTTAAACTTACTACTTGAAGATTTTCTGGCCTTCCTCTCTAAAAAAGGCATCGTAAAGATCTGTGCTTTATTTATCAAAAAAAATTGTCAATCTTATTCAGAACAACAGAAGAAATTGTTTTATTCAGCTTTTAAATCTTTCCTTTCAAAATGCAACACTTTGGCAGAAAAAGGACAACTGAGTGTATTTCAGACCAGTTCAGAAATTTTCCAACAAAATAGCAGATTTCCTTAAGGGTTTTTTTGCCCACCCCTGACCCCACACTTTCTATGCCACTGGGGCACAATATAAACCTGAGGATAAAATTTAGGGGAAGGCAGGTCCCAGCTCAAGATATAAAATGTGTTTTCTGACAGTAAAAGGGTGTGATCTTGGAACATAAAAAGAATACAGTATTTAAATGGAATACTGGTTTTTTTTGTTTAAAACATTTACATATTTAGACTTACCACAAGACTGACAATAAGACTCCTGACTCTTTCTCCAATCTCTGGTGAAATGTCAGAGCCAAACTGTTGGAGAGTGGTTAAAAATCTTTTCAATTTACTCAGTTGTCTGGCTCCACATGTTGGGGGTAGCTGACTTCCATTAGCCAAGCTTGGAGACAGTGACCTTCCTGGACTTGATGGGTGGCCATTTACTATAGTTGGGTTTATTGATGTTACAGGTCTACCATCGTGAACAACAGGGCCACTGTTTGGTGGATGGGTATTAACAGGAGATGATGCAATTGATGCAACTGAGGCACTGGGCATCGAAAGTGGTGTAGAATTGGAAGCAGGAGAATCAGGCATCTTTGCTTCCCTGTTATCTATAATGCAATATGAATCGAAATTATGTGCTGCAAAATTGGGAAATGGCTTGGTGTGAAAAGGGTAATGGTTATCTATATAACATGTGATTCATTAAAAAGATACACAAACCATCTGCTTTTTGAAAATTTTTACATACATACAATAAAGTTATCAAACCTACCAACTGCAGATATTAAATGCCCTACTTAATAAACCAGTATGACATCCATGACTTGAAAATAAGACTTTATAAATAGTTAAAACATTTCATCTGATTCTATAATGCCAAATAAGATAGTTGAAAAGTTGGCCTAAGACCCCCTGCTTCCAGCAGCAAAGCAACATAGCTAGTAGGAGACAATTCTAATCAAATACAAATCTGAGTTTATGTAGACTAAGCTAGATTGGAATATGCAAATTAAATAAACTGAACTCGTGCAGGGTCATGATGTACAATAAAAAGAAAAAAACATTGTTCGAGTTGCCACTGGAAAAACATTAGGTTGAAATGCCCTAAACATTGAATATTCGTACTTGTCTTATACTTCATATTTTGGAAAACTGGAGTCCAAACAAAACAGCAAATTACTTATACTGTGAACAATAACAAAGTACGTATTTATGGTATTTCATGACAGCAAAACATTGAAGTTACATGAAATCAAATACAACGCACCAAAGGCGACTGCACATTTGTGTCGTAATGGCCTAGCTTCTCACAAGGGTCGTTGGAATTTCATGTCATTACAGAATATAATACTATTAACATAAAAAACAGAGCAAATTTTCTTATCCCTGTACTTTATCGCGGTAGATTTTATCCGTTATACAACTTTCAAAATCATCACAACGGACGGCGATAGGCCTTAGCAGCTGCACGCGTAACCCACCTTCACAACATTAGAAAACCAAAAACTGCGCGAACTTCACAATAACAGTTTCGATAATCTGATAAAAGCAAGATTAAAGATTCCATGTGATATTAAATCCATTTGAATTGTCATTGTTTGATTTGTAGTGGAATCAAGCAAATTCTAGTAGTAAATTGTTCAGCATTACGACTATCTCACCACCAGCAAACTATTCAATGACCTTGTGACTCAACTAGCACTGTTTGCATGATATTAAATTTTAATTCAGCTTGCTCCGAATGACTGCCTGCCAACTGGTACCTTTGCAACAAGAATTCGCTGTTACCAAGAGAGGCGCATGAATTCATTTATAAATAACTAGTACTTCACATAGAGAGGTCTTTGGGTACCTAGAAAAAGTGCGCTTGTCTGTGTATTAAACTGAAACCAATTAGCCCGTAACAAAACACCTGGTCAAAATAAAGCTCTCTACCACAAAGGAATTCCATCATACACCCCTTGCAGTTATTTCAGCTGCAGGCGACTAAATTTTGAATCGTTTCACCGAAAAAGTGCAAACTAAGCAGCAAGTGCTATTGTGCTATGAAATTCCTCACCAGAGCCTAACATTTCCCTCAAGCCCGTAGCAAGGCCTGTGAAGTAGGGGCGGCAAACTCTCCATGCAGGGCCGCCGGGGCCCAGGGGGCCACGGGGACACCGGCCCCCCCCCCTTGATTGCAAAAAGTGAAAAAAGCTCCCCTTTTTGAAAAATATATAAATGTATTTTTTCACTGCCAGATATTCTGCCTTATCTAAATCTAAATCTAGGCATTGTTGGAGAACTATTTACTGAAATTTTCTTAAGTTCTTGATGCAAATATATTTCATGATGCAGATGGTCATTATGCAAAAGGCGCAAGCCCCTGTGATGGTCAGGAGAATGCAGAGGAGACTTGGGCAAGAAAAATGTCCTCAGTATGTCTTTGGCAACAAAGTCTAAGGGGAGATAAAAATGTCCCAAAGACGACTTAACCACTGCATGATTCTTTCGATACACAAAGAAAAGACTGTTGAGATAAACCTAATCAGCATTGCAAATTTATTTTACTATGGCTGTGAAGAACGTGCCCACACCTTCGGCCAATGGCGTGAAGATGACTTGAACTTTTGTATCTTTCAAAGAATATTTCATGGAGGGGAAAGATTTATGTGTTTCAACTGGCGTAGGGATGGAAGGGGAATAAATTGCTCAAAAAATAAGAAATTAAAATCATTATTCGAATAAAGTGTAGGCATCAATGTAAGAGATAAGGACTGGAATTCGCTTTGACGTAGATAGCTTTGGCATTTGTTGAGTATATTGCACCTGTCCGGCGGCCTTGCCCATGTCGAATTGGGCGAAGTATAAAATGAAGTTGCTGTAGGGTTGGGGGAGGTTGAAGTTGATGAAAGAAAAGAAGCGAAAAATGTTGCAAAATATCTTCAGCATTTGAAAAATTTCCTCCTTCTTAATTCTATTCAGCTAGAAAACGTTCAATTGTTGTGCCTTCCATCAAGATCTTATTTTCAAAGACCAAACATGAGGGGGTGCACTCTTTCTCTGTCCGCAAAGAACTTCGCTAAGGGGAGTGCAAATAACTTCGCTGACTGAAGAAGAGTGCTCGGTACTGACAAAATCATCAAATTGCTTGGGCAAAAGACCCTTCTTCGCTGAATGTTGCTGACCTCAGTGTATTTGATTGATTTTTCAGAAATCAGCAACCATTTTCGCGCATTGAGCCGCAATCAAATTTGCACATCGTTCCTTATGGTCCTCTCTCACTGCTTAAGCTACAAACAGCGCTGTGAAAGATTTAGACTAGAAGATTTAAGCTGCGTCATTACTATGTTTATTGGCTTTAGAATGTCAATTTACAAAAATGAACATCCAATTGTTCTCATCCTCTTCTAGCTAATGAGGCAATTCTTTATCCAAGCTACGGTCTTCGTTTCTTAAATTTCTTTAATGATCTTGATTTTAAGGTAATTTTTAGTGCTTGCTTAGTAATATTCTATCATTCCACAGGTTTAATCAAGAAACGCGTGTTTTCCAACATACCAGAACATAACACTCCTTCTTTGACAACTACTGATTAAGCCAGTGCATGTCTATATACAACAGTTTATTGTCCCAAAAACCTTTACTCATTACTCACATATTTTGTGATTTTGAGAAGCCCTGAACAACGAATTGCAGGCAGATGTTTCAGCAATTATTCTGAGAAGCGCACAAGTAGCGCCAAATTTCTGCCTAGCAGTGAAAGTTTTTTAGCGCTAAGCACAATCTAAGACCTACGTCGGTAATAAGAGATCCCAACAAACCATTTCCCTTCCTCCAGTATTTGCTCAGCCCAAATTGTCATGGCAATCCAATACCAACGACGAAAACCCAATTGAAATAATTTGAAGACAAAATTCCTGAGGTGGCAAACAGCTGGTATTTTGGTCCAGGGGTGGCATTGCCAGCCTATGCCACCCCTTGGCTATGGACCTGATTTCCCTACTTGTTGGCCCACGATTCCCCATTTGTGAACCCCTTTTTTGAAGATTGTTTGAAAAACTATTTATTTGTTAATTGCCCATTTGCAGTGTCACCTGTTGTAGTCAATGCTGCACACTTGCCCGAATTTAATTCTCATTTTTGCCCTAATTTGAGTCAAAGTGAGAAAAATGCACCTTTACATTAAATCCATACCAGTAGAAATTCCCAAAAATACCCTTAACAACCTGCCAGTGTCACAATCAATATTTTGTAGCAAATTGCATAGAGCAAATGGGATGGGGCTAAATCCTAACTTTCTTGATGGTTTCATGTCCAGAGGATCACTTGAACTTTTTGCTTACAGGAGGTCCAAAGTGTGTGCAGCACCCCCTTTACAGCATCAGCAAGTAAAAATATATGATAAACCAGTAAAAGAGGTATTTTCCTTACAATATGTTTTTGCGCAGACCAGGATCAGCAGTGATTAATGAAAATTTTAGCTATTCTCTTACTACTGAAGTTGCAATGACAAGATAAAAAACTGATGCATGTTCAAACATTTCCACGATGTTCAAGGATAAACATGACACAATATCAGCTGATTTTTTTTTACTTTAAAGCAACTAGATAAAAAACATTTAATCAAAACAAAAAAGTTGACCAGGTGAGTAAGAGCAACACAGATGGGTTCCAAATAAATATCAAACAATTTTGCAACAACTTTCTGAAATGTTACAGTGATTTTTAAATTTCTTATGAAGGAGCACACATGGGACAGCATGATATTTTATCTATAAACATCTGAAAACAAAAATAAATGTGAGTATAGAAAGCTATGCCAACCTTTTGTTTTGCAAATAAACTCTTAACCACCAGTGCTCTAGGAAATTCTAACTCTCTCAAAAACAGATTCTTCTAAATGATGTTTTTATTCAATGGCACAAACTATAATTGGATAAAGAAAGAAATTGGCCACACACAATGTTTCTTGGGATGGTGTCAATTGAGAACAGAAAAATATTGCATGGCATTTCAGTGAATGGAAGAAAATAAGTTGGAAGGGTAGTAATATCATTTTACTTGGAAATCAATCAATTTTTTGATATCTTCAATCTATGCAACTAGTGAACCAGTTTAAACACACATTTTTACACTCAATTTATCCTTTACACTTCACAACTCTTCAACAGGTATCTTTTAATTTTACATTTAAAATCTAAAAGGCACATTTTTAGAATATGATAGCACCCATAGAGTTCAGTTCTACCAGTTGCCTGGTGATGGCATTAAGAACAAAACGCAGGGTAGCAACTTAGAACAGCCCTGTTTTTTACACAAAAAGCATGCCTTTACTGCATGGATCAATTGGTGACAGACCAGCAGAACAGTTAACTTTATTAACAGGCAAGGAAACTAATTTTTTAAACAGGCCACAACTGCCAAAAGTTATGGCTGAAGCTACTTTCATTTCATTTTATTTTGTATTTCAAAAGGGTTTAATATATTAAGTAAATTTGAATAAACTGATAATAACTAAAAGTCATAATGAAAATGGTAAGCAAACACAAAGCATTCAACAATCATTTCTATCAAACATGATGAATTGTACTTGGGGAAAAAGATGTGATTAACTGAAATGCTTTCCTTGTCAAAATATGCTTGAGAGCAATGCAATTATTCCAACTGAAACTCCCTTTAAAGGCATATGAAACAAAGCAAGAAAAAGCTTCTTGAAGAAAATTACTTTGAGAGGGATTTTGATTCTAGAACCTAATTCCTCAAAAATTACATACTTTTGGATGATACAGACAAGAGCACATTGACAAAAGGGGGAAAGCAAGCAAAATGACTTCTAAACCTCAGAACAAAGATGGAAAACTCTATGCTAGGAAATGTTTATACCTAGTTGTTGATCAAAATAGGCCAATCAGAATTGTGAGCAAATGACTGTTGAGGTTACCCAAGCAGGGCCACTTGCCTATGGAAAATATTACCAACAGATCATAAGGTGAAAACGAACTCCTTCTGTCTGGACAGTACCAGCTTTTTCATGTTTATATAGATGGATTCCAAAACTGCTTGATGGAACAAAAATTGGGTTTTACCAATAATCTGAAACATGTTGCCATTATAGTTTTTCACACTTGATAATGAAATTGCATGTTTTAGTTGTTTTTTGAGCTGCAAGACAGAGTAGACTGTTCGTTTTGAGGGAAAGTTTTGTTTCTAATGCTGGAAAGGACCTGCTGTTTTATTCTATCCCCCAATTGACAATTCTTACCAATTTCTTTGACTTTCCTATCAAGAATCTGCATGTTTTCACAAGATTAAAAATTTCTAAGCTCTGCATAGGTACCTTTCCCTACAAGTTCCTGACTATCATAACAAAAACTGCCTGACAGGCAAAAATTTGATTGCAGAAAATGCAACGACAAGAGAAATTGCAGTTACAGAAGTAAACCAATTAACCCTTGCATGTTTTCAGGGTTCTGTGAATACGAAAAGGGCAAATGAAAGGAAATTTTAGGGGGCAATTTTTCCTTAATGTTCTGTTTAGAGGAGTATATAATTTACAAAGGCCAGACCTGCTAATGAATTTCAAATACCAAGTGCCTACAGTAGTATTCATAAAAATTTGCAGTGAATTAGGAATTTTATTTCACCTTTCTGTTGAAATGTGGTCAATTCAGCTTACTCATGTTTTTACATACCTGCTTTGTATTGTCTACACTTGCTTGGGTCACAAAAGATGAGTGGAAATGTGTTTAATGATACATTCATTTCTATCAACATACCATTTTGCACAAACTATCAAAAGCTTGCTTGGTTAGGTTTGCATGCTGGCATGATAATGAAAGATCAATGGCATCAAACAAACAGGCCTGATTTAATGTCATATTTCTATCATTGGTGTGGAAATATTACTTTTAGAGGCAAAATGTCAATTTCACCAGCCTCTACAGAGGAAATCAGATGCTACAATTCCTGCAGCCAGGCATTTTTTATGTGTATGGAGCATTCACATTTAAATTTACATATATAATATATCTAATAAAATGGTAGAAAAATTGGAACAAAGAGAAAAATGAATATATGTTGTAGAAATTCACAGTAGATTCCAAATATAGTCACCCAAAATATTGCTTGAAAATTTATGACTACAAACAGAGTGTGACAGTAAACAGAGCTAAATTTAACAGTTTTGCGTATTTTGGACTAAATTTTATGTGACTGTAACCAGGGAGCTCACTTTAAGTGGAGTAACTATAAGCAGAGATAACTTTATAATGATGTAAGCATTCAACATGATATCAATTTGAGTCCATTTCCTGGCCAATATGACAAGATCTCTTCTAATAAACTATGACATGAACAAATCGCAAAAAATAATAATATTTTTAGCAGCAAGAAAACTCATCAAAGCTTTTGGAGGAAGATATTTCAGTGATTGATGTAAAAAGATGTGCAGAAAGATTGGTTCTTCCTAATGTTTCTGAGATTTTTTTCAATTTGTAAATGCGAAACTCACTTTACAAAGATGTTTGTTGAACAATTTTATCAGTCAGGCATTGCTTCACTTAAATATCATTTGACAATATAATCAGCTTTGAATGAAAATTTCATTTGGAAAATGCGGTTGGGTTCTGGGGTGAAACTTTAATTCATCAACAACGATTAAACAAAAACTGTGCTTTTTGTTACCTGACAATCTTGTTGGCATATCACTTCGCTATTTCTCGATGTTCGACACCCGCTTATCACCACTAAAACTGTCTTTTGACCTAACCGATGAATAAACAAACCAGCTTCAGCATATCAGGATTCAAAGCCAATTATAGACACCTACTACGAGCAATTTGTCAAATATTAGCAACTGGCTGATCAAATACATCAGAAACCAGAGAGTAGATTTGCCGGCGGACATGAACAATCCGGAGAGCTACCATGTTTTCCTTGATGTCATGTTTCTAGGAGAGTGTTCCCTGACCCTAGGCGACCTGTGATTCGTTGATGTAGTCAAAAAAACTCCTTGACGTGTATGACACGAGGTTAATCGGATTATCCGAACCGGATCCTTCACCTTCGCCGATTTGCCTTTATGCCAACTCACAACATTCAAAATGGCGGTCTCCTCGTTGTAAATGTCACGTGACTGTAATAGAAAATTTGCTCCTTCACAACGCCTGGATTACAGAAGAACACCTGCATTAGTCCATATTCTTAGAGTTAGGTTTGTTCTAGCCATTGAAATTGTCTGATAACCTTTGAAATCAGCTGTGATAGAGCAATAGTCGAAAAAGTCCTTAGTTAACGGCTGATTCGGGGTAACAATTTTTGGCTGATGGCCAAAGATACTCAGTGCCGTTATATTGACAATTCCATATTGACCAAAAGCTGTCATACTAATCGAACGATTGAAGTTAGCCATTTGGAAACTGGCCTTAAACCACGTAGAAGCAATATCAGAAGGAAAACATATAGTTTTTTGAATTTGTGCTCTTTTAAATTGCATTGGTGCGTTTTGCTTTTGTATTATCAGAAAGAAAATTGTATATGCAGCGAATTTCTTTACCATTTTTTGCTGACGGAAATCTACCTAGTTTAGCTAAAAAAATTTCACTGTACAAAGTATCTTTATTAGATCCCACTTCGTGTGTTCAGCTTTTTTCTTAATTGAAAAATGTTGACCAACGCAAGAGAGGCAGGGCTTGAGACAAGGGGATAGTCGATGTTTTAATCTTCGAGATAAAACGAGTATTCATTTTGGAAGTACTCTGCGAAACGAAATTTATAGCAAAAAATCGAAGTCACTGCTTGATCGAGTGCGGTAGGCTAACACAGTTAAGAATAAGACATTTGATGAGAGAGGCAGGTGGAAAACAACTCAAACAAAATTGAATCCATGTGCTTGCTTTCGTGCGAACACCAGCTATCTCTGCAGATGTTCACCGGATTATGTGCTTTATGAATAAAATTAAGTGTTACTGTCAAGAAATGGAACGATCATGGGATAAGCTTCAAATTGATTTTACCAAGATCCAGAGCTCAAATTTATTCGTAATTTTCCTTACTAAAAACTTTGTTCTGAATTTCCAATGTCCTGAAGCTGTTCACTCAATTTATCTCCATCAACTCAATCAAAACTATTTTTGGATCAATTCATTCTCAAGTATTTCATAGCGATTCGAAGTTTAATTTTATTTGAATACACTATTCCGACCCTATCTAAAATCGTTTTTCGTACCTTCACGTTGCTATCTATTTTTTTGTTGCGAAACAATATAAACAACACGAATCTAATTCACATGTAGCAGATTTCAAACGAAACAAAATAGCAAGCAAACTGTTTAGTCCAAAAGATTAACATCGTAGGAATTATCTTATTATGTAGAAAATCCTAAAGCCTTTTCTAAACGAAATATTTCTTAGCCATTATGCCTGGTCTTACTGATTAACTAAGTAAATCCGTTTGAGTGGAAGTTAGGGACTTGTATTTATCTAGTTATAAAACTGGACTTTCTTGTTAAGAAGATGGTATTTTTCAGCATCATGTGCTCATATGCACGATACTGAGAAAGCAATAATATAGTAAAAAAATGAAAAATTGACCTTTTAGAAATTGAGAAACTTACCAAAAATCTCTTGCAAAGGCAATTACATGTGTAAGTTACAACAGTTAAAGACTCGAGTCACCCTTTATGTCGGTGAAGAGCCCTCTTGATATCTAAGCTCTAACTGTGTGCTGTCAGTTCAGTGTTGCTCTCACGTTTAATACCTGTTCGCAGGGAATTTGTGATTTTTAGCGAAGCACTTTAAATTCATACATTCTATTGACCAAATGTCTAAGTGAACTCGTTTATAATTAATCAGCAGAAGAAGAATACTGCATAAATCACGCATACACCTTTCAATAATTAAACACACAAATGAAGAAATCTCCAAATCTGAAGATTGCAGGAAACCAATTTGAACAGCAATCAGATTTAGCGCACAACACGAGTTTTAATTTATGGCAAGGATTCGCCCGCTGAATGGGGTCGAGGCTGTTGATGAGACTTCCTCTCGCAGATTACGTAATATATCGCGGGCATGGATACAAAGCTCGTTACATTAAAGGCTGAAAGACCAGCTGCGTTAACATTCCCTACAACATTCGTTAAAAAGCCTAAGGAGTACAGTGGCGGATTTAGACCGGAGCAAACGGAGCAGCTGCTCCAGTCAGAATTTTCTAAATTTATTATAGTGCCTGTTTGATATTAACTTAGCTCTGTTACTTCATAAATCATCAATTAATACTTCCTGATGCCCCCCAAACAACCCCTGTGGACTAGATAGGTGCCTTAGAGAACTGGTTTACATTTTGTCGTCTGAGTTGCTTATGTGTTGACTGTGGAGGAGATGTTCACAATTTTGCTCCACACGAAATACGTCATGGTCAAATAAACCAATCAGACCACTGGATTTTGCTCCAGTTGATGAAAATTTGCTCCAGGAAGTGCTGGTTAGCCAATCAAACTACTGAGCAACTGGAGCAAAATCCAGCTCTGCGATTGGTTTGAATCCGTTATCGGGAGCAAGTTGGAGCGCACTCTTTCGAATTGGAGCTTTCGTAACGTTCTGTGTGTAACGGGGCTTCGAAAAAAAACTGACGACAAGGATTTGAGTTTTTTGAAAGAGAGACGGCAAAACAGGTATGTTTACTAATGTTAATTATGTATGTCGTTTAAGGGAGCCCTCTTTTTGATGCTGTCGTTGTGGACGTTTATAAACCCAATGAGATAGGGGTTCATTTAGGCCTATAAGCAAGTCATGTTATTTAACAGATTACTTTCTTATCACAAAGTTATTTGAAAGTAATAATGGTACAGATCGTTTTGTCTAATCTAAAAGCGCAAAAGGTCCTTATGCCTTGGCCGCTGGGAATACTTGTGGGAATGTAGCTAGCTGTAATAAATAGAATCAAAGCTCTTGTCAGAGGCGAGGGGCAATTCACTCTTTCAGCTGCCAGTTTCCCTCCAAACAAACAGATTTCTAGGGATTTTTAAAAAGAGCTATAGGGTTTCAATTGTTGATTTGCCCCTCGATCAAGAGTGTTTGTCTCAAGCACGGAGCTCTGCTCTGAATTCAGGAGTTTTATGTAATTTTAATATTATGATTTTCTTTGAATATACGAAGAGAAAGGAATTGGTATCAAACGTTGCTAATCTGGGTGGGTCGCTAATGACTGATATGATATAATCGATTTCAATACTCTATAAATTGTCTTTCAAACTAATGTTTGTCTTCCTTCATCTAAGAGATAATAAAAGCTATTCACAAATGCAGCTTGTGTTGATTGAATTCAGACCATTAGCATTTTTTAGTATTACGATTACATAGGCGAGTTTTTGAAACTGATAAGAATGACACTTCTACCGATGAACAAACTGCTATTTCCGCGAAAAACCACCGCAAAGGAAACTTTCAAAGGCATCAATTTGATTAAAGGGCACATGTCGCTTTAGTAATCGGCTAATACAACAAAAACGTTTGGTGTGAAATTCCATTCTTTCGTGACTTGTCATTTATACGTCATGAAATTTTACTGCCGTGAAAAGATAAAAGATTCAGTTTGGTTTATTATTTTAAAATTCCGAGTTAGTTGCGTGTTTCTGTTGAGAAAGAATTCCGTCAACTAAAGTACAGTTTCAAGCAGTTTTTTAACAAAATTTTTATAACCTCTAAATTGCTACTAGCTTTATTTAAAAGTTTGTGCTAGTTAGAAATTTTATCTGAGATTCGCATGAAATTAAAGTCGTTTTCAGAGAATCTAAAGGGCGTGGTCATAAAAAATTGTTCGGGGGCTCCGCCCCCCAACCCCCTCAGGTTCTGCTCCACTCAGAATTTTCGCTAGATCCGCCCCTGGAGTAGAAGAGAAAGTTGCTTTCTCTCTTTCCTGAGCATCGCTCGTCATGTCGATGGAATGAAATTCTTCTCGCAAGACGCAGAAAGAGAAAATTTGTTCCCCTAATGGTGCTCAAGTGTTGCAAATTCCAAAGTTGATGTTGAAGAATTTGCGCAAGGAGATTGTACGCGGCGTATGGGCAAACTGATAAGACGCAAATTTTCGATTTTTTTAATTGATAAATTGAGAACGTTTACTGATGCCTGGATGATAACAATCTTATGAAACACGAGAATAAAGCAAATCAAATAAAGCAAGACAGCTTTTTTTAAAATTTCGGCGGTAATGTTGTGATACATTTGCAAAAATCTCTAATTGGCCACATTCATTTTACCATATAACTTAGCATCATAAATTGAATATCTACGGTAGACTTGTACTACTCGTATGGACGTTTGGCAAAAACGACAAATCTATCTAACAAATCTTTAGTAATTGTAAACGCACATATAATGATTTTAGCAATTATAGCAAGGGAAGAAAACATTGTAGGACAATACTATCAAACGAGAGAAAGACTCGCGAGAAAGTCTGTTCATTCAAAAGAAAGAATTTGAAGCTTGGCGTAGAAGCACTTAATTGCCATTATGCAATAACACCTGGAATCGTAGCCTTTGCACGACGGATTTATGTTGATCCGAGATGAATCTATTGCCAGTCTATGCCAATGCGTTTTCATTGTCAGTAACAAAGGTTTCTGCAAACAAGACCCACTTGAACAAGACCCACTT